TGACCAGGCCCTTGCTCAGGATGGGCCTGCAAACAGTTCAAGATGCTCAGGCTTAGTAATTTTCAGGACTCCTAGCTCTGGCAGAGGACCAACAAACCCAGGTGGTTTGCCCAAAAATGGGGAAGAAACTGCCACCCGCAGATTAGAGTGGTGGGTGGGAATGCAGGCTCACTTGCTCCACTGTGTCCCAGCTCAGGGCCCTAGAGGCAGCAGTTTACTGCTGCTGGATCAGCAGGGGCTCCAGCCTGAAACATGCTGATCCAGACATGTCTATGTCCATGCTGTCCCCGGGCCACTTCCCTCCTCCCCCTCAGCACGTACCTGGCAGTCGCGTAGGTCTCCTGCAGAGTCACAGGGATCCAGGTCCATGGGCCACTCCTCAGCGGCATGCAGGCTGTTCGGGAAGTCTGGGGAAGTCTGTTGTTCCTCCGGGCAACTGTGCAGTAGGGGCTCCAGTGGTCCACACCAGCTCCCCACTTCCCCAGGCATTTACTCTGCTCCGCGGTGTGCAGGGGAGCCCTCTGGTCCTCGCCAGCTCTCCACCTCCCCACGCCTTAGCTCCCTTCCTCAAGGTGTAAGGGAGTCCTCTGGTCTCTTCAGTGGTCGGCACCTCACTAGCCTGGCTGGCAGGCTTTTTACCTCTCTGGCCCTGCGTCTCATTAGGGCCAGGTGTAGCCCACCATGGCTCTGGGAGGGGCGTCTCCCTTTCAGGGTCAGTGGGTGGCCACTCCAACCCACTACAAGCACCATCTGTCAGATGTTTTGCCATGCCAGTTGGTATAAAAGGGTAGAAGGTGATGGTTAAATGTCTTAGAATCATAGGACTGGAAGGGACCTCGAGAGGTCAAGTCCAGCCCCCCGCCCTCAAGGCAGGACCAAGCTCCGTCTACACCATCCCTGACAGATGTCTATCTAACCTGTTCTTAAATCTCCAGAGAGGGAGATTCCACCACCTTCCTTGGCAATTTATTCCAATATTTGACCACCCAGACAGTTAGGAATTTTTTCCTAATGTCCACTGGGTCAGCGGGGATCCTGTCCACAGCATGCTGACTTAGTTTACTTCCATCTCCTCAGCCAGTTCAGGGTTGGCTATCCCTGGGCCACTTCCCAATTCCTCCTGTGGGCATAACTGGCTTGATACCAGCTCATCTGGGTCTTGAGGGAATAAATATTCCAGCAGGATTTCCATTGACTCTGGGATCATCAGTGGTCCTGGTCAGTCTTACTTTTCCTGAAAGTGTATGCTAGTCTCTCACCTCAGGAGCTTGGGAAAGGCATCTGATTCCCTCAGCGTCTTGGGCCCAACTGAGCTCTTAACTCCAGCCTTTATATTTCTAGCCCTGCCCTTCTGCTTTCTGGGGTTGTGGCTTGATTGCTCTGGCCTGGCTCACCAAGGTGTCCTGGGGAGTTCTTCCCTTTCTGGGTCAGAGGGAGGCTGCTTTACTACACTATCTTTGTTGTGAGATGAAATAGTTTCGATGCCTTAGAAGGTATTGTTAAACTATTTTGCTTGATGTACAGTTGAAGATGTGATGCACACAATGAGGCCTGGCCTACCTTGACCACTAAGTCATATCAATATCATGTAAGCTAATTTTAGTTCTTCACAATTGGTTTGTAACAGGGTAAAGTTTAGTATAGGCAGTCCCCGAGTTACGCGGATCCGACTTATGTCGGATCCGCACTTACGAACGGGGCTTTCTCGCCCCGGAGCTCGCAGGCAGCGGGACTGCCCAGAGCAATGAGGCCTGGCCTACCTTGACCACTAAGTCATATCAATATCATGTAAGCTAATTTTAGTTCTTCACAATTGGTTTGTAACAGGGTAAAGTTTAGTATAGGCAGTCCCCGAGTTACGCGGATCCGACTTATGTCGGATCCGCACTTACGAACGGGGCTTTCTCGCCCCGGAGCTCGCAGGCAGCGGGACTGCCCAGAGTGCAGCGGTCCCGCCACCTCGACCTCCAGGGCGAGAAAAGCTGCTCCGGGTGCCCCTGGTCTGCTGGGGACCGTCTCCAGCAGACCA